AATAGACTTAGCTATCAGTTGTTAGTAAAGTATAGGTCCTATTAGAGGCCTAAAAAACGATTAGTAATAAGTATTTAGCTCTTCTTTTTATAATCGCCTAGGCTCTATATGTATAGAAGTCGATAGCGAGTTACTCTCCTAGGCTATTATCGTTTGTTCGCGGTAGGCGTTGTATCTGTCTCTTAGACTTAGCTCTTCCGCAGGAGTTACATTATACTATCGTTACCCCTTAAACTCGCACCCCCTTAGACTACTGCACGAGATGCTTAATTGCTGCTAGTCTTAGGTGGCTAAGTCTCTTGTGCTATAGCATCGCTAAAGGCTTCTTTAGTCCTCTCTACGTGCGTATTGTAATAGCTCTTATATAGATAAATGCCTAGGGTAGAGGACTATACTCTAATACCTACTAGCTAAAGGTTTCTAAGAGGTTACTAATAACTTAATTGTCTAGTCCTCGTAGGTTAGTTAGGTTTAATTCAGTATCCTACTAGATTCCTCTTTGCTATAACAGTTGGAAGGACACTAGATTATATACGATCTCTAGGTAGATTGCTATATCTCGCAGCACTAGCTTTGTTGTCCTATGCTAATATTGCAGCGTAATGTCTGTAGTCCTGTATCCCCGTATCTAAATCTTTATACTACTAGCCTATATATAGTCTCTTAATAATAACGGGCGGTCGTTATATATCTAATCTAGATTACTTATAATATAGCACGTTGCTCCTAAATCAAGAATAAATAATTGTGCGAGAGGGTACGTGTGCTTAGCTGTCCCACTCCGTGCGATAGTAGTGAGCGCAGCGTCTACGTCTGTAATCTTTTAGCCTTCTAGTTATTTAATTAGTGACTAAGAGAAATCTAGGGTTAGTGTATATAATTACTTTAGCACTAGTGTACGAGTATAGGGTCTACTTTATCTGCAGATTAGCTCTTAAAACGATAAATTATATTTATGTCTAAACTTAATAAGCTCGTTTATTGTCTTATTAGGTTGCTACTATTTTAGGGCAGTCTCTAGGTAGAGATAAAAGCATATTCTAATACTATAATATTATCTATATGCTTAGCATTGTACTCTAGTAGTAGTAAAAGAGTCTTGTTCTAAAGATCTCTTAAGCGTAGACTTTATGCTTCTAGCTTATACGTTAGTATTAGGGTCTACCCTAGTTTAGCGTTGTTTAGGAGGACGTCCCTAGTACGTTGTTAGCGAGGTCTGCCCTAGTTTTATTTTCATTAATTTATTTTTATTAATAGCGCGGACTTTAAACTATAAGGCGTCCCTAATAGCTCCTAGTCGGATTCACTGCTAGTAAAAGTTAATCTATATAGTCTATCGTAAGCTGCTATTGTAGTGGAGGATTTTCCCACAGGAACGTGTGCTCGATGCAAGTATTCGAGATTAGATTGTTGAGAGAGAGAGTGTGTGTGTGTGGGTGTCTGAGTGATGTCCGATGGGATCCTTCGCGATCCCATATGGTTTCCACTGTCCGAGCGCCCTTCGGGTCCGTTCATTCCCACTTACTCTACCACACTATAGCTACTTTATACTTCCCTAATCTAAGAGGATAGTTTATTATTATATGCTCTCGGAACCGTTTTATTATCTTCTTCTAGCTTATGCCTACTGCCCTACAATTATTATCCTAAAAATTAGTAGCCTACATAGGTGTAGTTCTATTAACAGCTGCTAGGAAGTCTTTTATTGTTGTGCTAAGCTAGGATAGCTTAGGGACATTGTACGTCTCCGCGTAGGTTGCGTCTTAGTTATACTTAGCTAGCTACGTGTCCTATTGCGCCGCGCTTCTTATAGGCCGTAGGGCCGCAAGATAGCGCTCGCGTGCTTGGTCTTTCTTAGTCTCGTTATCAACCCCAACGGTTAGTTGTAGGTTAGCAATCCACTCGCGTAATGTCTTGTCTAGGAGACAGCATGTGCGTAGTAGGTGTAGTAACACGCTTAATTAAATTAAGGTTATAATATGTTAGAAGCTTAATTACTCCTTTTCGTACTAGTGTTGGTCGCTCTTGTACTGCTCTATCGACATACGATAGTACTTAAGATCTTCTTTAAATGCCTTTTGCCCGCTGCTAGACAGCTCGCTTAGGCGCTCTAGTTCTCCGATGCTAGCAGCTGCTTAGTAGTTAGCGAATACTAGGATTCTAATGTCTTTTGGCTCCCGAAGGGGCTAAGTAGTAGATTTTAGGTTAATCTTATCCCAAATATTGTGCGCTACGCAACGCGCTTATAGTTGCAGCATCTATCTAGTGTAGTCTGACTAGTCGCGTAAAGTCACGGTCGCGTCGCGGGTGGTAAATGTGGTCATTTTGGTAGGTAGGTAAAGGTAGTGAGACTCTTAATTGTCAGATATTCACTCTCATCTAGAATACTGATGAAATAGATAATAATGGTGATAATATTAATAATTCATCGTGTCGTGGTTCTGTCTACGGTTGTGGGCACACCTAGGGGGTGCCAAGCCTTCCTGTGATCCGATTGGCTCTCTCAGATGCCGGGTCGCGCTAGTCTAACCTAGCGTCTGTACGCTCTCATCTTCAACAGTGCTATTATCTGACAATAGGAATTGAAAGGAGAACTTATAATTATACAGCAGGCATATTTTTTAAAAAGGCTCGAACGTATAAGGTGTTATAGTTAAGAGCGACTAGACGAGCAGCTCTTATGCCTATAGAGGGGCGCGCTAGTTAGTGGCGGACTTATAGAGGATTAAAAAGATAGAGGGGCACTACGATAAGTAATCTAACTTATGTGAATAGCAATCCGACCTTTTGAGACGGCGTCGGACTAGGGGGTGTGTCGCGGAAATAGACTTAATGTTGGACGTTAGATAATTTTATAATGAGATTGGGTCTTTCATACTCTAGATATATGCTAAGGTACTAGTCTATTATGTATAAATACTAGACTAGCCGTCTGATCTTTCTAATCCTTAGAGCAATTAATGATCCCACTCTTAAACGAATCTAATCGGTGTCATCCCAGCTATCATAAGAATATATATATTTCTGCAACAAATAATACAGTAGTTAGTAGGTCTAGGTCGAGGTATCGTAGGATTAGTGCGCTAGTAAAGGCGCTTTTTAGGTTATTAAAGTCCTTTCGACAGTCGTCGTTAAAGAGGAATTTAACCTTCTTCTTAGTTAGGGCGATAAGCGGAGTAGTAAGGTAAGAGAAGTAATCTATAAACAATTAGTAGAAGTTTATAAACCTAAGGAAGGCTCGTACGTACTTTACGTTACTTAGGTGTTCCTAGTCTATTATAGCTTAGACTTTCTTAGAGTCTATTCGTATTCTATTAACTCTAATAACGTAGCTACGGCAAGTACCTTTAGTCTAGTAAATTCGTATTTATTAATGTCAAGTTAAAGTCAAACTTCCTTAAAAGTGCCTAAGACTGCTCTAACGTGCTTCTTATATTCGTGTAGGCTCTTACTATAGATTAGGATGTCGTTGAGATACGCAGTATAGAATACATCTAAGAATAGACGTAACACGTTGTTCACGAAGTGCCAAAACGTACTTAGTACGTTAGCCAATCTAAATAGTATAACTAAGCTTTCAAACAGGCTATAGTAAGTAATAAAAGTAGATAGCTATTTATTACTTGTAGCGATACGTAGGCAATTAAAGGTAGCAATAATATGAAGCTTTAACGTGGTTCACAAGCGAGTCGCCACCCTAACCGAGTCGCCACCCCAACATAATCGTCGCGCCTGCGCAGCAACTTTACGCAACACCACAATAAACTGCTATACTATACGCTATACTATAGGATTATTTAGAAGCGTCGCTATTATCTGCATCCTTAATTTCTGCCTTATAGGTGTAGGAGTTGTATCTAATCTCGCTACAACGGCCGCAGCGTCGCCCTACGCATACCCTCTTTATAGGCTCCTTACCCTCCTTATAACTACTACCCTCCCTTTTAGCAATTAGGTTAGATACCTTACTAACTATTCATACCTTCTTTGTCCGTATATAGCGTCTTTTATAGATCTTACGCTTTATAAGCGTATTAATAGCGTCTTAAAGGCAGCCTATTTCCTTCTACACTAAGACTATATTATAAGCTATCTAATAAGCGTCTTTACTTAGCTACTTAACCTGCTTATCTAATAAGCTTACTAGTAACTTTTAGTAGTTTTGTATACAATTTTAAATTAGCTTAGATTGCGCCTCTACCTCGCGGGCGTTACGCGGTGTTTACGCCTCCTAGGCGATAATGCCTAGTATAGGTAGTATTAGCGTACGTAGCTATATATCTAGCTCTAATAACATCGCTTCTAGGTCGTATAAGACTAGCCTAGCGCCTTAAAACCTAGCGCAAATATTCTCTAGTGTAAACGTCTTCTTATAAGCTACTTTCAAGGCTAGTAGGAAAGTTTCCTTATTAATATAGTAGATGCGGCTATGTGCTAAGAGTAAGATCTTATCGCCGTACGTGCGCTTTAATAGCAAGTAGGGGACAACGTTAAGAGGCTATAGAAGGTGCGGCGAGTAAGGTAGTATATAGAGAGTAATAATCTTATTCTCCTTATAGTAGTTCTAGAATTCTATTAAGTAGTAGCTCTTATAGCTGTCGATAATAAGCAGCCTATACGCCCTAGTAGAAGACGCCTTTATATAGGCGTTAAAGTACTTAAGCTAGGCTAGCGCGAGGTTATTATTAATCTAACTAGTAGAAGAGATAGTAATAATCTAATTGCGTGGCAGATCTGCGAACTAGAAGGTAATAAGGACTTTACCTATAAAGATTAAAAAAATGTAGGATAATACGCCCTATTATAGAGACGCCTTAGACTAGAGTTATCTACTCGCGATTGCTAGGCTACAGTATCTTCTATTTCCTAGGTTTCCCTAAGCCTATGACTATAAGCTAAGAAGATATTTTACCTATTATAAAGCCTAACTTATGAAAGTTCTTAGTGTCCTTATCTATAATACTATATTTCGTCTTTATTAATTAAACTAGGCTAAACTATAGCCTAATAACTACTAGATCCTCGTAGAAAGCATACTAGTAATTATAAAGACGGCTCTAGCGCGTACGTAGCTTAGGTGTACGTTATATAAAGTTATTAACCTAGTTCTTACTTATAGGCTCGCTACTATAATCGCGTAGTAGTCTATTAGCTATATCTCGTACGTGTGCCTTTAAGGGCGGTATTCTATAGAAAGACTCGTCGCGTATAAGCTATATAATTACCTCCGTTTCTAGCTTTAAAAGGCGCTTTATATTTAGCTTATAATCGCGTTAAGGGCGTTGTCTAGCGCGTTAGTTAATAAGTGTTCTTTAGGGGACGTTATAGGTAGCTACAGCGCGTTTATTGCTTCGAAATTAATATAAATTAATATCTAAGAGAGTAAGCTGTAAATCACCCTTAGTATAGGACTTTTCTAATTGATGTAGATGTAGCATTGCATAAAGTTGCTGCTTAGGCGCGGCGATTGTGTTAGGGTGGCGACTTGGTCAGGGTGGCGACTCGCTTGTGAACCACGTTATATAGTACTTTACTTTGCCTAGTTAGCTTAAGTTCTCTTTAAATTAGTAGAATTAGGTATGAGGACGATAACAACTTTACATGGAAGTACCTTCAAGGCTGCGCTGATGCTGCTTGGTTAAAGTGCGTTGAGTACTATAACAATCAGCAGCTGAATTGGCAAAATCGATTCCCTGAAGATACTG